CACCTTCGGTCCACTAAAAAATCCCCTCTCCCGGTCCTATTCTACTACACTCCGCCCCTTCTCCCCTTTGCTTCGCATCCGCACCCTTTTTCTCCTCTGCCGACGCTGCTCTCTAGCCGCCACATGGGCATTGCAAGACCTCCGCAACCAGCACTGGCGCGCCCGCTCACCTTTCACGGCGACGTCGTCCATCCAAGACCTGTTCATAGCCAGGTACATTTCCCCTGTCGACGACATCCATAGCGGACACTACGCATGACAGGTGTTCAATCAAATGTCATTGAACTTATTTTGGAACACCATGTCGTTTTTTTATAGTACGAAGGATGGCGGGGTACTTGACTATGGAGAATGAGTTGTTGTGCGATGCGTGGTTGGTCGTATCCGCGGATTTCGTAGGCAGGAGCAGAAGGGGGCTCTTTTGGTAACACGTGCATGATTCGTTTCACGCGTGAAATCACATTGCACCCTACTACATGTAGATCATCCAGCAACGCAATGTGAGGTGGTTATCATATCGATGGTATGTCATCTAGACCACCATCATCAAGTATTGTGACGCGGTTGCTTGGCTGGAGTCAAGGTGGCCATTGCGTGCGGCAGCGAAGGAGATCATAATTTTTGCTTCTTCTTGCTTAACTTGTCGATTGAACCATTCATTCACTCAATGTTACTCTACACGTTGAAGGGGCAGTATATGTGAGACGACATGATCCGTTATAATAACTTGTTTAACAGCTGGTTAATCTCGTTGAATTTGAACAACTGTTGTACTAGACTTATTTGCATGCTATGTATGGATGGTTTCTACTATATTCTATCCGAACTTCGATGAATTCCGTTGGGTTTGCGTGAATTACGTTCAGTCTATTGAAATGTGGATTGAAATGTAAGCGGGTAGCTTTGGATGGTCGGCTCCTGCATTCGTGTCCACGGACTGATTCTCTATCTGCGGATGGATGCAAGAGCAATCAACATTAAAAATGCCCTAATACTAATCGACCCTCGGATTTATGGGTATCTCAGATGAAACAAATTGCTCCCGGAAGTCAACGCAACGATAGAGTAAACAAAATGAGCCAATAAATGGGCCCAGCTTTATAAACGAAGGAAACAAGCTTTAAAAATCGAAAGGAAATTTGCGTTCAACTTAATTAACAAAAAATGTCGTTTCTTTAATAACAAAAAATGTAGAATTCCTGCTACAGGAGAATATAAACGACCAGTTAGTGGGTTTGTCCTTGAATAAAAAGTTTAATGTAATTTAAAAATATCGCAAGGCGGAGGTGGATACACGGCGGTTGCAACACAAAAGCGCCATGGCCCAGGATATTTGTCGCGGTGGCTGGACCGACTTTCTCAACAGCCACCCAGATGTAATGAACAAGATGATGGCGGCGGCGAGGACGGTCGGAGTGGCCTCGGAGGCCAGGCCTACAAGATCATTGTCGACTATTTAGTTTAATTTTGAGTAGTTTAGACGTAACATTTATTAAAGTTGGTCAAATTTGCATGTAATATGCCAAAGTAGTCTAAATTTTGTCAAATTTGCGTGTTTGGAATCTTTGAACAGAAGAATTTTTTGGGGACATCGTTGGATGACCAGAGGGCTCTCTAGATGTCTGTTCATCTAGCGATCCGCACTGCAGATGCCTTAACACCGGGAAAAGAGTGAGTTGAGTTCTCAGATCATGTGTTGTTGTCGCTACCGAGAGAATATTTGGGTTGAAAGCACGGGAGGTTTGTTAAAAGCCAAAACCAAAAGAATAAGAGTTGAAGAGGAGAAAAGGACGAGAAAGAGGAGGACGAAGATGAAGATGGGCAAGAGAGCACCCGCCGGGAGAGAGTGCTTCGTACACTTGCAAATGTGATGGAAGGCATCATTACTGATTAATAACGCCTGGCAATCATTTCCTCCGCACTTAATTGCTCCCTCTGCCAAAGAAAAGAGACGATCATTACACCCCATGCAAAGAAGGATCGGATTGTTCGATTAATTCCATGCATGCTTTGGGGTCAAGCAACGTTACTAAATTCGCGCGGCCCCTTTATTCACGCCATATCATATACGGCTGGTGGTAATGATAGTAGCATATCTAGTATCATGCATACCAATTAGATAATTTTGATGATGTGTCATAACATTAAATGAAGAAAGAGATGATGAAGTATCATATCATGATACCATATCATAATAAATGTTATGCTACTTTATGTTATGCATGGCAATAAATAAAGTACTACATGATACTAATATATAATACTATACATTAGGAAAGTAGTATCATACACTGATAATATATGCATGATACTACTATATGATACCCCTGTTACAACCAGCCTACTAGTACCTGCCCAGTAATGCACCACGTGGCAGTATACAGGATCAAATGCGGCAAATAAATCCAACCTATATTTGCTCATTCTGTCCGTTTCCGGAGGGAAACACCTGCAAAATATCAACGTGGTACCTACTCTCGTCGACACGGAGTACCTGCGCATTCAGTAGGAGTAACAGCTAGCGTAGTATACTCGTGAAATAATGCAAAGCAGAGTGAGACGAGGAAGAGGGAAAAGGAAAAAGAAAAAGAAAGGGGCAAAGCTCTCTGCCGCACAACTTGGGTTCCGAGATGAGATGAGACTGAAACTCTCCTTCTCCTTTGACTTGTCTTCCCCATCTCTCTGCGGGGCCAGCTAACGAACACCGAGAAAGCAGCGGAAATCAAGCCCGGTAAAAGATATTCACCAGGAAATGAGGAAGGAAAGAAGGGAAAGCAGAGAGTGTGTGTGAGTGAGGTTCCTTCTTCGCCGAATCTTTTTCTATACTCCGTACTACTACTACTACTAGTAAGAGAAATCTCCAGCCTTGTTCTCTCCCTCTCCGTCTGCGGCGCCCTCAGGAAGAAACTAGGGTAGGGGGAAAGGCGGAGAGAGAGGGGAGGGGGCCATGCCCATGGTGAGGAAGCATGGATGGCAACTCCCAGCACACACATTCCAGGTCAGAATTCCACCTTCTTCCTTGCTCTGCTAAAAAGATGCGGCCGTCTACACTAGTACAATTTCAATTACGGGAGAGGCTTCAACTCCCTTCCCTTGCAATGCAAGCGCCGCGAGAAAGTTGCGGCCTTCACTTCAGATCAGTTGCCAGAATTCTGTCAGCGCTTCCTCTTCCACTCCCCTTCTTTTGTGTGCCTAATACTCATCTAGATACATTCTCTTTTATTCATTTTAATGACAAGTATTTTCGGACATAGTAAGTATGTACTGGTACTATTTAATTGGACCTCGATCTCTAGGGCGTAATGCTCCTTTTTTTTAGCAAAAAGCCAGGGGGCTGTATCAACTGTTTCAGCTTGGGGCTAAAAAAAAGGGGAAATTTGGGCCGACTATCTAGGGCAGGCTGCTTTATAGCCCCTGATTCCTCCATCTACTAGGCATGAACCTGTGGCGTGTTCCGTGATCTTCCGTTTTGTAATCTTCAAGTGGGAATCCACTTTAGCATCGTCCTAAAATTTTCTATTTATATCTGGATGACCCCCCCTTTTCTAATTATGGATTGATTTCTGGTACTACATAGAAATCAATTGAACTCATCTCCTGCAGAAATGTCTTGCCATGGCATTGGTTAGTTCAGGGAATATACTGTTGTTTAATGAATTACTTCCAACTTTTCTCCAATATGCTATTCCAATGAAATCAGTACTGTGCTAAAAGTGGAGACAGAACTTGCTACCTGTAATGCCCTACATATACAAGGCCTTATTATGATGTCAGAAAGTAATACATTTATGCCATGGTGCATTTTTATAAGTTCTGCTATCGATAGCCAGTCATATGCCTCTACTTGTTTTCTTAGTCCACCTTTTTAGGTTCCTCATAGAAAATTCAAATATGTCTGAATATTGTCAACTTTCATACTTTTGGACAGGGGAATGGCTGAGTTCTTAATCTCTCTTTTTTTAACAGATCGTTGCAATTACTGTTTTCTTCCTTCTGGTGGTTGCATTTTATGCCTTCTTTGCACCGTTTCTCGGAAAGCAAATCCTTGAGTATGTCGCAGTCGTTATCTACTCTCCTGTGGTAAACCTACCATACTGCACCTATATTGCATTTCTTTCAAGGATTGTTACTTGTGCTCTGCATTTATTGTTTCTCCTTCTCTCGGCAACTCCATCAGGCATTCGCTGTCCTCATCCTGTATATCCGGTGCACTAGTATAAACCCTGCAGATCCTGGGATCATGTCAAAGTTTGACGATGGCTATGTCAATGCACCAGAAAGTAATACTGGCTTGCAGTGCACCAATTTGCCTGCAAAAACTGGCATTGCTACTGGAACCAACTCCCCAACATCTACTTGTAGAAGCTCTCTAGATGGGCGTACTAACCATGGAGGTTTGGCTGCTGGAGACACAGATATAAATATAAGAATGCAACCACTAAGAAGATCAGGGTGCTACTTCGGAGGCTTTATTTGCGCTTTGTTTGTTAAGGAGGATTGCAGGAAGTCTGATGATTCAGAGAATCAAGTTGATGCAGAAGATGCACTGTTTTGCACACTATGTAATGCTGAGGTACACTCCCCAACATATATGTGGATGTTTAAGTTTGAACAGTTTGATTGCTCTTGTCTTGGATTAAGGGTATGTTTGATTTGTGTCCAAAACCAACCCCCCAATTTTTGTCATGGCCCAATTTTTTTTTTTGTCCTTGTTTGGATGGTTGCCAAGTTTTTGGCATGCCCATGCCAACCTGCCCTCTCTAGTTCATTTTTCTTGCCAACATTGGCCAAATCGTGGTCAAGCAAAACCTTGGCAAAAGTTCTGGCTAGCCAAAAATTTGGTAGGGTGTACTTTGGCTCAAAACCAAACATACCCTTAGTCAAGAGGTCCTATCTGTTTTAGCTGCTGCACTGACTTTGCTAGAAGTGAAAAACTGAAAACTTGTGCTGCCGGATCTTGCTAACTTACACACAAAAGCAGGCCAGATGGGCTTGGTTTATTTCTAAGAAATAGCGAGAAACTTGGCCGCAGTATACAGTAGATGTTGCTAATCTTCGAAGAGATCGTTTCAGGTTCGCAAATTCAGTAAACATTGCAGAAGTTGTGACAAGTGTGTGGATGGATTTGATCATCACTGCCGGGTATTTGCTACAAAAAACCATATTTTCTTCAGTTTTAATTTGCATACCTGATTTGTTTTGCATCTACTGCAGTGGCTAAATAACTGTGTTGGACGCAAGAACTATTTCACATTTTTTGCTCTGATGACTACGAGTCTCCTCTGGGTCTGTAAAGTGCCTTACCTATTACCTATTTTTCACAGTAAATACGGTTTTAACATCATATAATAATTTATTCATCTGCTTGCTAGCTAAATCTATTTATGATCTCCTGTATGACAGCTTGCTATTGAAGTTGGAGTAGGCATTGCTGTTCTTGTTATGTGCTTCGTCAACATGAATGCAGAAAAAATTATTCAAGACAAGCTTGGGAATGGATTAACTCGTCTTCCGTTTGCAACTATCGTAGTAAGTTGTCATTCTTTATTGCTGTAGGTATTAAATATGGGAGGCCATGATTAGACGCCTATAACTGTATAGCTCTGAAGGAATTGGTTCAGTGTGTTCCTCTTTTCATCTTTTTTTGGGGGGGCTAGAACTGTATACTGAAATGTGTATTTCTGGTGTGCAGGGAATATTTACTCTTCTTTCTCTAGTTGCCTGCGTACCTTTGGGAGAACTCTTCTTCTTCCACATGCTATTGATCAGAAAGGTTGTCTCACAATTCCCACCGAGTGTAGCATGTATTTAAAGGTCTTGTTTGATTGAATTGTTACATTCCTTGGTCTGCCTGCATCAGGGGATCACCACTTATGAATACGTTGTTGCGATGAGAGCTATGAGTGAAGTGCCTCAAGATGAAGAGGAAGATGAGAGAGCAAACATTATTTACTCCCCAACAAATTCAGCAACTAGTGGGTTCAGCGGCGGAAGTTCACTTGGTCTTCACTACAAGGGTGCATGGTGCACACCTCCAAGGATTTTCGTTGATCAGGTAATATTGGTGAATTTTGAACTTGCTAAATAGTCCGATATTATTATATCTTGGAGGGTTCAGTAAGAAATTGTGCAAAAAATGTGTAATAAAATTTTTGGAGGCATTATTACTGAGTTTTGCTGTATTGTTGCCAACAATGACACAGGATGAAGTTATCCCACATTTGGAGCATGGCATGGCACCATCTACCGTCGACCCTGATGCCACTGGACATGCTGAAAGACCAAACAAAGCCAAGAGGCAAGTCAAAATCAGTGCCTGGAAACTTGCAAAGCTGGACGGCAATGAGGCGATGAAAGCTGCCGCAAGAGCTCGGGCATCGTCCTCCGTCCTCCGGCCTGTAGGTGCGCGTGGCCCTGGCTCCACTGGCAACTCTCATCCTCAGAGTATCGCGAGCCAGGATGACTACGAGACCGGCACGCAGAGTGCTAGTAGTTTGAGCAGCCCAGTCCACATCCAGAAGCTTGCACCTCGCACCCAGATGAATGTGCCGCCGCCTCGACCGCCGGAGAGGCCTGGTTTTCCGACCACGCAGGCAACCAATCCAATAATGTTCCGGCCAGCAACATCCTACGCTCGCGAGAACCGAAGAGCGTCGGTTGTTTGGGATCAAGATGCTGGTCGGTATGTGTCTGTGGCATCCGCACCTGCAAGACCTGGGGGAGTTGCTGCTGGTTCTTCTACTAGAGCGCCACGTTTCTTGGAAAACCCAAGTGGTGGGAGAAATCTTGCGCCAATGAGTGCCTCTTCCTTGGCATTACCATCTGGACAGCCGTCTGAGAGACTGGCCTACTCTGGACAGTCGATATTCTTGGGCGGGCCGGTTCTGGGTGCTGCTGCTGAATCTCGAACGAATGAGGCCAACACAAGAGCACGGCCGGATGACAGTGGGGAGCTCAACGCCGATCAGCACCATGCAAGGGGGACTGGGGAGAGGGGGCCAACGGCCGAGTCTTTCCCACCGGGAACATTTCAAAAGAAACCACCATTCAACAGGTGAAGCGCAAAGAAGCGATTACGGATGACAGCGAACCGTCCTGCCAGATCATAGCTGCGCCATGAGGACATGCCAAGATATGTGAGCAATCACAGGTCCAGTGACTGCAGCTGCAAGCCTAGAAGACTCTGCAGGTCATCTTTGGGGATCATTTACTGTCAAGTTATGCATCTGAATTGAGCATAACATTTCTTTCTCGGAAGACCCAGTGACTTATGAAACAGAAATCAGGAAACAAAAGCAGAACAGCCAGTTGGCTTCGGTGTAACAATTTTTGTTCCCTCATTGTGGTGCTCGGTAGCTTCGTTTAACAGGAAAATTAAAACATATCATGATATCTAAGAGCAACTCCAATGAGGCGACCCATTTCGTCTGCCGCCGTCCGTTTAGGTCGGCGCGGACACAAAAGTCGGCCCAACGCGCCGACCCAAACGGACGTGCGTCCGCTTTTCGTCCGCGGGCCACCCATTCCCGGCCCATTTTTGAGTCGGATTTGCGTCGGCGCGGACATGCGATGGACGTGTGCACGCTCGCCTTCTCTCCCCTGGCCCGCTGGTCGGTGGCTCATTGGCCTCCCCCTCATCCCCAACCAACAGCAATCCTCGCCCGCCTCCTTCGCCGCCGACGCCGTCGCCCTTTTTTGCCGGCGACTCTGCCAGCTACCGCTGCCTCCACATCCGCCCAGCAACGCCGCTCACTCCCTCCGTCGCCCGCCACCGCCGTCTTGCCGCCGGGGAGCAAACTGCTTCCCACCGCCGCCCCCCCACCGCACAGCCGCCCGCGACCAAGAGGCCGCCTCGCTGCCCCGGCCAGATCCTCACCGGCACGCTCGTCGGGTGCCGGCCCACTCGTCGGACGCTGGCAGGGCAGCTAGCTGGTCCGTGCGCGCCGTGACTCCCCTCGCCGGCCATCTCCTTCTTCGACGCCCGCAAGCTGTTCGACAATTTGCCAAGGTACGAAAATGGACTTCGCCGACGAGTTCTTTTTCCACAATTTCCTTTACGACTCCGACGATGACGATAAGGAGGAGATATTGGCTGCCGTGTTGGTCCATCACCACCTCAACAACCAGCGGCCGTTGTTCCGTGGCTCCATTCCGGGCCACCTTCCGACGTTGAATCGCAACCGAGAGAGCGGGCATTTCCTTCTTTGTAAGGACTACTTTGATGCAACAAACCCGTTGTTCAAACATCAAAAATTCCGCCGCCGTTTCCGTATGAGTAGGCATCTTTTCAACCGTATTAGAGAGGGGGTGGTCGGCTATGATGACTATTTCGAGTGCAAAGAGGATGCCGTCGGAAAGATTGGTTTCTCCTCTTATCAGAAATGCACTGCCGCCATCCGAATGCTTGCATACAGAGTGCCCGGTGATCTCATTGATGAGTACGTCCGTATGAGTGAGTCTACATGCCTAGAGTCCCTGTATAAGTTCTGCAAGGCTATTATTGCTGTGTTTGGCCCCGAGCACTTGAGAAAGCCGACAACTGAAGATACAACCCGTTTGTTGGCGATGAATGCCAGAAGGGCTTCCCAGGGATGCTTGGCAGCATAGACTGCATGCACCGGGAGTGGAAGAACTGTCCTTCTGCTTGGCAAGGGAAGTATAAGGAACATGTCAGGGCTTGCACTGTCATATTAGAGGCCGTGGCGTCTCAAGATCTCTGGATCTGGCACTCTTTCTTTGGCATGGCTGGATCACACAATGATATCAACGTGCTTCAGCGCTCGCCGGTGTTTGCTAGGCTTGCCGAAGGCAACAGCCCACCGGTGAACTTTACTGTCAACGGACACAACTAGGACAAAGGATACTACCTGGGTGACGATATGTATCCTCGATGGACCACTATTGTCAAGACAATACCCAATCCTGTCGGAGAGAAGAGGAAAAGATTTTCCCAAGAGCAAGAGAGTGTTAGGAAGGATGTCGAGCGTGCCTTTGGTGTTTTGCAATCTTGATGGGGCATCGTTCGGTATCCTGCTAATACCTGGAGCATGCAGAAATTGTGGGAGGTGATGACTGCTTGTGTGATCATGCATAATATGATCGTAGAAGACGAGCGCCTGGAACGTCTGTACGGTCAAGGGTTTGAGTTTCAGGGTGAGAATGTTGTGCCTGAGTATGGAGTAGCGGCAACATTTGAACAGTTCACCCAATTTCATGAAGACATGCGTGATTGGAAAACTCATGTGCAACTGCAAAATGATTTGGTTGAGCATATGTGGGCTCATGTTGGCAACCAATAAATATATCTTTTTTTATTCGTTTGCAAAACTATGTGAAACATTTTTATTTGTATCCGGCTTGTAAAACTATAATATTTTATTCGGTAAACTATGTTATTTGACGATATGTTTGAATGCAAATCAATGTAATATTGGGTGGCCAGCCGACCACGCCGGTACATATGGGTCGGCGCGTTGGGCGCGCTGCCGACCCAAATCTAAAAGAGGGCGGACGCCGGGCGGGCGGCTGACTCAAACGAACAAAAAGCAAACGAAATCGTCGTCCGTTTGGGTCGGCCCGTTGGAGTTTCTCTAAGAGCTTCTCCAAGGGAGGCCCCAAAATTGGACCCATATGTCTGAGCGGACAGCCTATCCCAAAAAAGAAACACTTCCAACAGGCCTCCCCAAGCTGCCCCATTTGTCTGGGCAGTCCGTACTGCCCCAAACCCAACCCATATGTCGGGTGAAAATGGGGCCGTCCAGACATGCCCGGAATGTATGACCCACCACCGGCCCTAGAAAATCCCTTCCCCGGCGCAGAAAAATCCTAACCCAAGCCACTCTTACTCTCACTCACCTCTCATTTCCTCTCCGTTCTAGCCGCATCCTCTCTGTCCATCCCCATCTGTATCTTATAGTGCAAGATGATGAGTTTTTCTTGTGTATTCCAATGATGAGTTTCCTTAAAATCTCTAGATCTTTATGAGTAGGCAAGTTGGATGCATAGTCCACTAGTTCATTAGGAGAGTTTTATACACTTATAATCTAGTGCATCCATTGTATGGCAACCTCTAATCCTTGCATTAACATTGGTTATAAGACCTCTTCATTGCCTAATGATGAACCCCATTAATTCAAGACACTTATACTCCAGTGCATCCGTTGTATGGCAACCTCTAATCCTTACATTAACATTGGTTATAAGACCTCTTCATTGCCTAATGATCAACCCCATTAATGCAAGACTTTATTTACCTTTTGACTTCTCAGAAAGCTCCATCACCACTTTTTTCCATTAAGTGCAAAGATCAAGGCTCGAGCTCAAGTAGGAATAAACATTAATTAGTCGAAGCAGGGGGATTATGTAATCAATGTGCCTGAATGAAACTCCGTCTGGTTTATGATAATGTTGTCTTGATATGATGAAGACTTAGTGCAGTACTCCCTCCTTTCCGGTTTACAGGACTTAATTTGAAAGTCTCTTCAACCAAGGTAGATCATGAATGGTGGAATTAATTTTGTAGTTTGCAAAAGTACTTAATTAGTACTCTTGTTTTTCTCAAAAAAATTGTAAACCGATGCATTAATTACACCACATGCATGCATGACCACTTAATGACCAAGAACTTCTACATGCATTGGTGAGTTTTTTCTTCATCCTGGCATGCAGTGATTTAATACACCTTGAAATCTAACATGTGATGGTAAGTAGTAGAACCGAGACTTATAAAACGGAAAAACAAACTTTTTGAGATGAGCCCTATAAACCAGAAAGGAGGGAGTATGCTTCATGATACACCTGACATTCTTTCTAAGCCTTGAGGCATTGGGGATCATTGAGTCAAAGCATTGGTTTATGAAAAGCGAGTGAAGTTATTACTTTTTGGTATCAACTGCGGACTATTGCATTGCATCGCTATTCTTACGAGTCATACTTAAATTACATCAGATCGATTATGTTCATGTTAAGGTAAGAGTCACAACCAAATATTATTTTTATCATCTATCCACTCAATGATGAGCAGGGATTAAGCTTGAGGATGTTGATACGTCCTAAACGTATCAATAGTTCTGACTGTTTCATGCTATTATTATATTACTTTTGTATGGTTTTGCTATCAATTTTATATTTGTCCGAACTAACCTATTAATTTAGTGTCCTTTGCCAATTGCTTTTTCTATTGTTTTTGAAATTTTCAAGAAGATCGATTTTACATAGCTCAAAAAATCAGGGAAAATACATCAAATATTTTTGAGTCGAGAAGCTTCCAGAGGCACCTGGTCCTGCTTGGGGTGGGTCCATGTGGGCCCCATGCGGCAAGGTGGTGCAGCTAGGGGGTTGGCCGCGTGGGTCCCCCTGGTGCTCCGTTCCACCACCTCTCAACGCCCATGCCTTTATATTGCTCTAAAAATTCTAAAAATAATTATCGAGGAAATTTTCCACTGTTGCACCTCTCTTCCACCGCGATTCAATCTAGATGCCTTTTCTGGTACTTTGACAGAGGGATAATTCATCACGATGGACATCTACATCAACCTTGCCCAATGATCGTCCATGAGTAGTTTCTTTTGGACTATGGGTCCATACCAGTAGCTAGACGACAACCCCTCTCTTGTTCTTCAATAGAACGATCACATGAGCTACCCTACATGATTATGATCCATCTAATGTAATTTTTATTGGTGTGTTTGTCATGGTGTGATAAATTGTCACTTTATGATCACATCTATCTATGTTTTATTGTTGGATTCATATGAGTTCTTTGCTGCATAATTTATAGATATATATGCTCTCCAACCTATTAGTCTTGCACTGACCATGTTTAGTTGAATGATATTAATAAGGGAGTTGTATATGTTAGTTGGGTTTGACTTTGGAAGCAATCTACCACAATGACAGAAAGTAGAAACTGCTTGTATTGTGTTGATGCCACTAGTGATAAAAAATAGTTGAATAGTTGTCCTTTAAAAGCAGGTTGAAGACAATATACTATCTACATCATGTCATCATACTTATTGCAATACTTTATTTTACATTTTGAGATGAATGCTGGATAGTG